TGATGGGGGGGGGAGCCAAGGGGGGCACGTGCCCCAGGCACAGTACATTTAGGGGCGCAACATTAACAATTAGAAAGATTAAATATGAAATATTTCATTCATAGCTGTGCTAGCATCTAGTTGCAATCTCAACGTATGTGCAATTAACAACATGTGCAAGGAATAAAATTAATACACAAAATGAAGAATGTTATTGGTTTTTGGGGTGGGGGGGCACAGTTCAGTACCTTGCCCCAGGTGCAGAAAACCTTAGTTTCAACTCTGGCTCCCCCTCCCCCGCTGTTTCAATTCCCATGCCCCCCTGCGGCCCACTCCCATGGGGTCAACGACATGCATTGCTCCTCACCTCCCCGAGCCCTGCTGGCAGGGTGTGTGTCACTGCTCTTGTTTTACGAGGGGGAAACTGAGGCACAGAGCCGGCGAGGTGACTTCCCATAGTCCGTAATAGAGCCTAGGAGTTCCCTCGCCCACAGCCCCTTGCTCTAAACCCAGGATTGCGCGGTGTGGTTTTATACCATCCCAGAGGAGGCTGGAGAACGTGCACCCTAGAGCCGAAAGGCAGAAGCGAGAGGTTAGAAATGCCGTGTCACAATAGCACTCAGCTAACAGCACCTGATCCAGTTAACCACAGTGAAACAGCCCGGCATGGAGAGGAATGAAACGGGGTTTTCAGATCCGGACGCCCCCCACTTTAGGGAAGCTCCTTGCTGGTGTCCTTGGAATCAGAGCAACAGACCCGAAAAGCTTTGAGCTTTGGGAAGCGCAGGTCTGGATCCAGGTGAGGCACAAACTTTACAGCGTGACCCCTCGACTCTCGTACTGAACAGTATCCGCAGCCGCTACCGCTTTGGGGATAAGGTGTCAAGCGCTCAGGAAATACAGCCAGGCCAGCTCTGCGCTACAGCCTCTGCCTCCGCTTGGTCTGTGTCTGGGGAGGTCTGCCTGCCTCAGGGCCTGGCTTCCCAGGGAGAAGTTTCCAGACTAGGGGGGCCTCTGTCCTGTTTAGCTCAGCGCAGGCCACTTATTGTGGAGCAAGCGAGCCACTTGGTGTTCACAGGGAATCACTCCAGGTGCAGTCGGGTTCTTACGTGGCCTTAGATAATTATGTGGCCTCCATTCAGGGGGCAGTTGCCGTGGGTCCCAGTGATTTAAAAGTGCCCGGTGCTCTGGAAAAATACTGCAGCAGCAGCGCCTGGAGCCCGGGGCTTTTGAACCTCCACCAGAGCCCCAATGACACAGCCCGGGCAGCGCTGAGCCTACCTAGCACCTAGCCCTGCCCCTTCCACCTAAGGCCCGGTCCCTTTGGGGGGGGGGGCCCAGACCTAAAACCCCTTCCCATTGCCCAGGTAATTCTGGGACCAGCCCTGCCTCCATTCCAGTGGCACAGAGATGAAGGCACCGAACTTTGAAAGTATTTAGGTGCTCAAATAGCTTTGAGGATAGGTGACATTCCCAAGGTCAGATAGAAGGTCTGTAGCAGAGCAGGGTGTTAAACCCAGGTATCCTGAGTCCTCAATTAGCACTCTAACCACTGCCTCATCCTCCTTCGGGGTCTAGTGATTCTTCCACTGGCTCCCTCTGGGGTGTGCACCCTGCAGTAGAAACAAGCCTCCCAGGCCAGGCATGTGCTGGCAGATAGCTCGGGGCTGGTCCTGCCGTGGCGGGGGTGTTAGAAAGCGGCACACAGAGCCCCACCAGGCTGCACCGTCTGCCTGCAGCAGAGAGCCATGCTGGAGTTCTCAGCCCACATGGCCATAGCAGGGCAAAGGAGCTGATTCCACTTGGCCTTGCACAGCTGGGAGCCATGAGCCAGGCTGACGAGCTCCTTAGACGCCAGCGAGCTCAGGCCTGGCTAACACCCAGTAGCCCCAGTTGGGCTGAGAGGCAGGAAGCCTCAGGGCCTCGGTCTGCTTGTGGGATCCGAGCAAGAGGGCCGCCGTGGAGCCGATTGCTGGAGCTCAAGACAGCGGTGAATAGTGCAGGTAACGGTCCTTGAGGGGCTCAGTGATGGCAGGGGGTGAATGGGCAGGGAAGACAGATTCTGCCTATGCCAGTCAGTGCTCAGGATGGCTGGGCCTCAGCTGCAGACTAAAACCTATGTCTGCCATGGCAGCTCCCAATGTTCCCCCTCAGCTTTTCCCTCCACAGGCAGGGCTTTTTCCCCCATCCATGTGCGGAATAAATATCAGTGTGCACTGGAGCACGTGTGACTGTGCACTGTGCGGAATAAATATCAGTGTGCACTGAAGCACGTGTGACTGTGCACCCCCCGTAGAATCACACAGCCTAGCTGTGCGGAGAGTCAGCCGGGCGGCATTTGAATTGCTCCTGCATGGCTGCCCGAGCACACGGCTGGCAGGGAGCCCTGGCACCCCTTGGCGCCAGGATGGAGCACGGAGCAGTAGGAGGGGCTTATGCAGCTGGGCCCAGGGGTTTCTGGACCAAGCGGAAGGTGCTGCATGAATGGAATCTGCTTTATCTTAGTCCCCAGCTGCGTGCTCTTGGGGGGAGGGGGGGGAGCATTGGAGTGAAAGCCAAGGTCACGCAGATCAAAAAGGCACCTGTCTCCCCGGAGGGCGGCCAGATCCCCCTCTGGGCCCATGGGACAGTCTCTGGCTCGGTATCTCCAGGAGCCACCACCCCCCACAGAGCGGAGGAAGCCAAAAGGGAGTTTTGCAGCTCAGGGAAAGGAAAGGACTTTCCGTGGGATTTTTTTTTTAATTGGCGTCTTCCAAATAAATCTCTCAGAAATTCCCGGATCCCCACATCAGAGACCCATGCTCCTAAGCGAGCTGCTGAGAGCCACACTCCAAGCCAGACCCTCCGGCTAGGGCCGATCTGTCCTAAGGGATGCCTGGGGAAGAGCCGGAGACGCGGAGAGGTCCGTGACAAGGTAATGCCAAGGGGCGCCGATGGAGCTCTGCTTTCCTGGGGTGCTCAGGGCCGACTCTGCTTGGTCTAGGCGGGGATTAGGTCGCACGGGCGGGCCCTTGTGTAAAGTAGTGAAACCTTCTCCTGGCGGGTGGAATTAGCCGAGCTCGGTGCCGGACTCAGCCTGCTTTGGTCTCTGAGCAGAGGCCGAATTAGTCTGCACAGCAAAGTCCTCCCTGGTGGCCTGTTGTACTGAGGCTTTGGGGGGAGGCTGGAGGCCCAATGAGGAGGATTCAATGTAACCCCGCGGTGTTTGCTCTGTGCAAAGTTGCCTTCTAAACGGCGGCTGGGAGTCCCAGCGGCTGAGGGTCATACGGCAGAGGGGCAGGCCAGGCCCTCGCTTCCGTGCCTGCCGTGTGTTCAGCGGCCCCTTGACGTGAATTGCACTAGTGACGCACGTGCACAACGTGCTCTCTCCCCTAGGAGCACCATACCAAAGAGAGCGTTGTTTTACTAACCTGTCCCCTACTGAGCAGCCTCTGCGGAGGGGCTGTGAGCGCAGACGGTGCCTCTGACCATGCGACGCTCATTTGTGTGAGCTGGCCGTGCCTCCTTGGGCACATTGAGCACTTGGGGATTGCCGGGGTTCCGTGAGCTTTGGCCGTATTTCCTCCCCCGCGCTGCTCACCCTGGGGTGACTTGCATCAGGCCCTGCAGTGGGTGGCACGTGGAAGCTAGCATGGCTCCTCTGGGCCACGCAGATGGCCATGGGATCTGCCCTCCTCCTGCCGGCATGCTGGGCAGTCTGAGCTGAGCGGCACAGGGGTACAGCTGGCGTAACGCCACCGATGGGAACAGAGGTACCTCAGCGCGAGATGGCAGAGAGTGAGAGCCGGCTTGTCACTCTCTAGCATGATCATTTTGGATGGCTGCAAAACGATCTCTTAATATGGCTGTCAGGCCTGAAGGGCCCAGGAGAGCTGGAGAGAAGCTGACAGGGAAGCTAAAGGAGCGGCTGTGACGTATGGGACGACAGGGGAGGGAAATTAAACCCAGGGAGATGTTGAGCAGGTTACTTTGTGTGTGGGGGGACGCCCCCTGCCCTCCACCAGGAACTTTATAAATGCAAAACCCCGTATTTGAGCTGTGGATTCCAACTCCCTGAAGCCGGATTCCCCAGCTGGTGTAGAACAGCCTGGCTCCGTGAAAGGGACTGGAGCTGGTTTATGGTAGCCGAGGATCTGAGGGCACCTGTAGCCATCTGGATTGCTCGTGATGCTTCTATTCTATGATATGCGCAGAGTGAACCAGCATAGAACTGGAAAGGACCTTGAGAGGTCATCGAGTCCAGTCCCTTGCCCTCGCAGCCGGACCCAGCACCATCTACACCATCCCTGACAGGTCTATCCAACCTGCTCTTGCATATCTCCAGAGACAGCGATTCCACAACCCCTCAGGCAATTTATTCCAGTGTTTAACCACCCTGACAGTGGGAAGTTTTTCCTAATGTCCAACCTAAACCTCCCTTGCTGCAATTTAAGCCCATCATCCTAGTCCTATCTTCAGAGATCAAGGAGAACATTTTTTCCTGTCTCCTCCTTGTCACACCCTTTTAGATACTTGAAAACTGCTCCCATGTCCCCTCTGAGTCTTCTCTTTTCCAAACTAAACAAGCCCAATTCCTTTAGTCTTCCTTCATAGTTCATATTCTCTAGACCTTAAATCATGTTTGTTGCTCTTCTCCTGA